GGTGGTGGAGTCACCATCCCTGGAAGCATTCAAAAAATGTGCTTTGGGACATACCTCCCAAGGGACTTTCCCAACCAGTGTCCTGAACAGGCAAAGTCTGCCTTCCGGAAGTCTATGGTAACAGTTTTGCTGCCCCTCCTCCTTACATCACCAAGAATCAAAAACTCTATCATATGAGGGTTTCTAATCCCAAGATGGCCTCCGACCACGACATCTCCCACGAGTCCTTCTCTGTCTGTAAACAGCAAGTCAAGTGAGGCACCTCCCCTAGTAGGCTCACTTACCAGCTGCATCAGGAAGTTATCTTCCACACACTCTAGGAACTTCCTAGACTGTTGCCTCTCTGCTGTGTTGTATTTCCAGCAGATGTCCAGCAAGTTGAAGTCCCCCACAAGAACAAGGGCTGGTGATTGCGAGACTTCTGCCAGCCATTTATAGAATGCTTCATCTATCTCTACATCCTGGTTGGGTGGTCTATAGCAGACTCCCAACAGGACGTCTGCCTTGTTGGCCTTCCCCCTCATCCTTACCCATAAGCACTCAACCTTATCACCACCACTGTCAAGCTCTATACAGTCAAAACACTCCCTAACACACAGAGCCACCACACTGCATCTCCTTCCATGCCTATTCCTTCTGAAGAGCTTATAGCCATCCAGTGCAGCACTCCAGTCATGAGAGTTGTCCCATCACGTTTCTGTGATGGCAACTATGTGATAGCTATCCTGCTGCACAAGGACTTCCAGCTCCTCCTGTTTGTTGCCCATGCTGTGTGCATTGGTGTAGATGCACTTGAGCTGGGCTACCAGTTTCACCCCCAATGTTGCCATGCTACCCCTGGGCTCCTCTCTACCAAGCCTGGTTTTATCCCTTTCCCCCTTTGAACCTAGTTTAAAGCCCTCTCAGTGAGTCCCGCCAACTCATGGGCAAGAGAGTCCTTTTCCCCTTTGGAGAGAGCTGATCTCCTGCTGCCATCAGGCCCGGTGCCATGTAAACCTCCCCATGATTGAAAAAAACAAAATTCCACTGACAGCACCAGCCTCTGAGCCACTTGTTAATCAGGTGAGTTTTCCCATTCCATTTAGTGTTCTTCCTTGCCACTGACAGGATAGAGGAAAAAATACTACCTGTGCTCCTGATCCTGCAACCAATCACCCCAGTGCCCTGAAGTCCCTTTTGGTTGCTTTAGGACTTGTCTCTGCAACCTCATCACTGCCAACCTGTACAACAAGCAGTGGGTAGTAATTGGAGGGCCTTACCAGATCGAGGAGTTTCTTAGTAATGTCCCTAACCCGGCCCCAGGGAGGCAGCAGACTTCCCTGTGGGATGGGTCTGGATGGCAGATTGGGCCCTCAGTTCCCCACAGGAGGGAATTGCCTTACACAATTACCCTCCTTTTTTTCTTAACAAGGACCATCATAATCCATGGGGCTGGCTGACTTGCCCTCGGCAACCCCCTGGCTGGACCTTCATCTACATCCCCACTTGCCTGGCCCTCAAGTTACAAAGCCCCATATCTGTTATGTAAAGGCAACTGGGAAGGTAAGGGAGGGAGGAGGGGATTCACCTGCTTCCCTGGGCAGGGACCTCTTTCCATTCCCCCTGTCTCGTAGGTCCCCTTCTTCTGCTTGCTGGCAAGAGGGTAGGGGATCCTCTGCTACTTGTGGTGCCTCCATCTGCTGCCTTGGCCCCAGGGACGGTAGGGTGTGGCTCCACCAATCTCCCTCCCTCCCATATGTAGCTTCAGCATGCTCCCATCTATGCTGTTGTTCTGGTTCATGAGTCCTCTTTGTAACCCGTAATGACAGAATTCTCAGCATCCCACTTTTCCAACAACTGATGATTCCTCAGGAGAAGTGACTGAATAAATCATCACTGTTTCTCCAGTGCATGGATAGGTTAGTTTCCTTTTCAGTGCCCACAAATATGGGTTTTCAAGAGATTCTCTGTTTTGTACACCAGATCAACATGGGTATTCCTTAAATAGAAGGAAATTTTAGAAAGCAAGAAAAGAAATGAGCAAGTATGACTGGCTTTAACATTAATAGGATAGGAAGTTGATGGGAATGATATAAAAAACCAAACAAAAAGTTGCCCCAAACCCTGAATACCTGTTGAACCTGCAAAACCAAAAAAAGGGAACCTTTATTACAAAAAGTTATGAAAATACTTAATCCATGATCATGCAAAATTTAACTCTAAAACATATCATTAATTATATCAGAATCACCTTACTTTGATTTCAATATCATCACTACATTTTCATGTTTGCTTAAAAATTTTAAAAATACCACAGGAAAAATAGCACACTTCTGCCTTGCATGCAGCTTCAAAAAACAGAAAAATAGCAAGAAAATTTTATTTGAACTTCTATAATACATATCTAAAAAGAATATTTTCCAGAAGATTGAAACGAGATGCTTACAGAAGGAAAATATTTGACGGATATACTAAAGGACAGATTAAGTAAGAAAATCTTCAGCTTGGTTAGGATGTTCTAAACCACAGGATGTATTGTCAATGCTTACATTTTCAGTTCCCAAACACGCATGCATTTCACAAATTACAGTGAAAATATTTTTAAAGAAAGCCAACAAAGAGTTAAACAACACACTAGCTGCTTCTCAGCAGTAGCTTTTTTTCAGGATTTCAGTGCAGAGATAAATCTACCCAATTGATCTGGAAGTTTATTAAAATAAGAGTAAAACAAAGCAAGAAAAATTTCTAAAATGCTGAAGTTTTGAAAAAGAGGTGCTCTTATTTAACATGTCTTCACTGAAAACTAACAGTGCTCTCAAACTGCCCAGAACCCAGACAAAACTACTCACAAACTTTAAACATATTTTGGGATTTTTTGGTAATGAAGTCTCTAGAAATAACAAAAAACATTGTGAAAAACCTCAAAACAATAACTACCATATGAGGTGACCAACTAATCTGATATGCAGAATCAGATTAGCAAAAAGAATCTGAAAACTGCAGTCACATTTACTGCCATTTATACTGTAAACTGTTCCTGATTTACTATTAACAATAGATTGGCAACAAGACTGCAAACACTCTAGATCAAATATTTGAGACATAAGCATTAACAAAAAGGTGCTGTACCATAGAGGTGCCTGTACATCAAAGCAAGTCAGAGTGACACCGTAGCTACTATCCTGTGTAGTATTAAGGTTCATAAAGCAGCATTCATAAAGCAATGGGATGCTTACAATAAAGCTGCTAGATAAATGCAGAACACAAAGATTTGATAAAAATTGAGAACAGGTGTTGTTTACAAGTGTCATTTCAGTTTTTGCATTTTTTTATTCCTAAAACAATTATTTAGGATCATAAATTCAATACTTCGAATAAATTACTTCTAAATAAAATTTTTAAATGGAAGCACACAGATAATATTAAAGAAATTATATACTGGAAAACAAAAGCTAAAACAAATTGACCACTAAGAATTACTAAGGAAAACACAAGAATTGTCTAGATTATATTATAAATTCCCAGATAGCTGTACTTTCTTACACATACACTGAGAAGGTTTTAAGTCAAACAAATGTCTTATCCTTCTGGTGAAAATTCACGAAAATTAATTCAGCTGAAAAATCAAATTAGGTAAGTGAAACCAAGCATTCAGTGGACACTCTTATTCAGAAATAAGTGTTTTAAAATAAATTTTAAATTAAAGAGTTACTTTAAAAAAAAAAATCAAGATTTCTAACTCTGAATAATAGCAGTGTTTAATTCAGAAGAATTCAGGTGGCACTTGATTCCATTCACATGGAATGTTAGCCTAAATCTGATTAAGCTCCTTTTCATTCTGATAAAGATACAACCATGGTGAGGTTTACTAAAATAATGAAACAATTCAAAAAGTAATGTGGATCAATTTTCCTGAATCTGAAGTAATGGAAAAATCTGATGAACAGATGCTCCAGTCACCACTAAAGGCACCAAAAGCAGGGACAACCAATAAGGGGTTTCAGCAGGTCCTTATGAAGGCAATATTGTTACCCTGGGAAAAACACTATTGGGGAACCAACCACTGTACTACAGAGGATGCTCGTCTGGGAACCCTGGCTGCTTTACTTCCCAGCTGGCCATCAGGGAGAGTTTTCTCTTTCTTCTCCTCTCCCTATCCCTCCTCTTTTGATTTTATTCTTCCCCAAAAGCAACTTTTACCACTAGAGTAAACGTATGCAATACTATCCTGATTGGTGGATCATGATAAGAAAAACTATTTATTTAAAACTGTCTCCACAAAATAATTACTATGTAGGAAGAAAACAGGATATAATCCAAAAATCTCTTGTGTCATAGCTAGACAAAAGAGGCATCTTCAAATTGATTAGTAACCTAATTAGCTAGTGAACAGACAGTATTCAAACTTAGGAGTTCAAAACTCAACTTAAAAGGTGAGTATGTGGGATGTTTGTTGCAACAGATACTCCTTCATGGGTTTTGTGCAGCCCAGAAAGGTACTAGCTCAAAAAGGCCGTATTACAAAAGTATCTTGAAGACACGGAAAATGCAAATGAAGAGGTAGAATACCTTTGAGAACTTGAGATTGTTCTAAGAATGCTTTCCCTTTACACCTAACCTCAAAACAGACTGCACTTCAGTCATTTGCTTTGTGTAATATCAATGCTTTGTTAGCCACTCAGTGTAAGATCTTCAAAAACAAACCAACCAACCCAACACAAACACAAAAAAAAAAATCTTCTAGTACTCACCTGAACAGTGTCAAAACAGAGGTGATTCCAAACAAATTTAAGCTTTCATCATCATATAAAAGTTCTGCTTTGTTCTGGGTAGGAGGATTGACAGCTTCTTCATCCAAAAGAACTAGTAAGACCTTTACAGTATCTCTGCCACAATACACAGTGCCATGATTTATGGAATGCAATTTTGGCTGAAAGTAAATAAAATTTAAAGGAACATAGAACAGGAAAGGTCAGCAAGCCAGACCAATAGCTTATCTCCAAAAGCAACCCATATTAGCACAAAGTATGAGAATCCCCTCCTTCCCTTTTGCAGTAAGCATTTATGGGGAACCTGTCCATGGGAAAGTTTCTTCCTCATCCCAAGCAATTATTAGAGTTTAGATCACTGTCAGCTGGAGGTGTACACTGATGAGCAAGTCACACAGATAAATATACAAGTCTGTGATGAAACCACACAGCAGAAATGAACATATTTTCTCACAACCAATTTGAGTACTATGGGGTACATAAACACATTCTAGCAAAGTCCAACTCCTCTGACTAACTGAATATGCTAAAGCTGTTGGTTAAAAGTGAGATTTCCAAAAAGATTCGACAACAGAGGTACTACTTGGCATAATCTCCTGTTTGGAACAGGAAGAATTCTTCACAATTTTCCAGGAGAATAAAGAATTCCTTAAAGAAAATAGTAATCCACATCTGGAAGTGATCAATGCTCAGTCAGCAGTACAGCTGTAGAACTCCATAGCCACTATGGGGCTGCAAGAATTGCACGTTTGCTATATTTTTCTTTAAAAGTACTAGGAGTTCCATGGAGAAACTTAGTGCTTGATACACAGTAGTAGATTTTTAAAACTATAGGCTTTCTTATTTACCAATACACAGAAACATTGAATAGCCAGACTTTGTGCAGAAGGACAGGACAAGCAATGAACTGCATTTATCTAATCAGTTAACTGCTTTTAAACACAGTCTTGAAAAGATCAAATTCTATTTCTCTCTCTATTTGATTACATCAATTAGTGTATGTAGCTTTCAAGAAACCATAGCAACACATGTCAGTCAGTTACTATAAGTTATAATCAATAGCTAGAAATAGCAATTACAGAAATGGTTGTTACTTAGCTTTACAGAATTGGCCTATTTCAGTACCGTTTAATTTCCTCAAAATTTATTCTGAACCTCTTCAGTCATTACATCACCACATCATAGATTTTTATAAAATGTCATGTGTGTCACAGTAAGTCTGTCTTAATGGGAAAAGTACAAATTTGGCATCATCTTGACTTATACACAAAGAAAAAAATCTTTAGAATATAACATAACCTCCTAACTGCCAAAAGATGACCTTCAGAAATCTCATTTACTACAACAGTGAGTTGGTGTACTAACCACGGACTAAAATCTTATTGTCTGTGGCACAGTAAGAATTTTAGGCAATACAACAATCCCTGCCATAAAACTCTTGTTTATTAGTAAACTTAAAATTACGATTGAAATTATTTATTCAAGAAAAGAGTTATCAGTCTTTCAAGGGTAGTGACCATCAGCTACTCCAGACTATTCTGGTTAGTTCCAGAAAGACCGGACAGATTCCATTTACAGTAGTAATTTTCTCAGGAAGAAATTATGATTAATTTCTATTAGTCACTCATGCAAGCTTCAACACAAAGTAGTGCTTCCTGCTGCAGAAAGTAAAAACTTTTCCTGGAGCTCTAAATTCTTATAAAACAAGTATTTGCAGGAAAACTGAGCAATGATGGAAGAAAACTGCCACTGCCAGGAGAAAAACAAATATTTTTCTAACAAAGTAACTCTTTTCAGGTACATTTTATGAGGAAGCAGCCTTCCCATGAGCTAGTGGAGGCATCATTTTCAGCTCTATAGTTAAGATCATATTTTAAATTTGCACTCAAAGATATTATTTAATCTCTTATGTATGAAAAAACATAACATCCTATTGAAATAAGAACTTATTCTGAATATAGAACAATTTTTCTGAAGAATTATAGCATTAGGGTTTGTGGGTTTCTTTATAAAGTAAAAACCAAAACACAATTAAAAAAACCCAAGCTATATGTTAAACTCAGCACAGAGCATTAATCTTTGCTGTCCTGAGATCTTAATGGAACAATACAGATGCTCTAATTTTTTTTCTACAGCTCAAATTCATTTGGAAAACTTATGGGTTTTTTTTTTCATTTTGTTTCTTTTGTTTTTTAATTAGTAACAGTAACCTACCCCTCTATATGCTTAGTAAAATGTTCTTCCACACCAAGCTCCACTAAAATATACAATTTGCTATCAGTCTCTTAACATTTGTCTAAGCTCCCTTTTCCACCTCACGACTCTGTGAATCATATATTTAAGGATTATCATTAAAACATACATTCATCACACAATCTTCACAAACTTCATTTACACCAACAAAAAGAATTCCCCACACCAAAACCAAAATAGCATCATCACAACACCAAAGGCAGTTTACACACACCCCACCCCTTGTCCCTTCACCACAATTACAAAACCAAAAAATTCCCCACACTTGTTTTGCGCTCTAGCAATGTTCAGTCCACATTTTGCCCATTACCTTTCCAATTACTGTCCTTATCTCTAACTCCTCAGGTCCCATGTTGGGCACCACAAAGGACTGTGTTGGGTTGACCTTGGCTAGCTGCCAGGTGCCCACCAAGCTGCTCTATCACTCCCCCTCCTCACCAGGACAGGGAGAGAAAATATGATTAAAAGTTCATGGGGTTGAGATGAGGACAGGGACTTCACTTACCAGTTACCAGCATAAGTAAAACAGACTTGACTTCAGGAAATTAATGTAATTCATTGCCAATTAATAAGAATAGAACCCCTCCCTTCTTCCCAGACTCAACTTCACTCCCAACTCCTCTACCTCCTTCCCCCAAATGACACAGGGCAATGGGGAATGAGGGTTGTGGTCAGCTGCTCCTTCTTCCTCATGCTTTTCCTCTGCTCCTGTGTGGGGTGCCTCCCATGGGATACAGTCCTTCACTAACTTCTCCAGTGCGGGTCCTTCCCACAGGCTGTAGTTCTTCAAGGACTGCCCCAGCATGGGTCCTTTCCCCAAGGTGCAGTCCTTCAGGAACAGACTGCTACAGCGTGGGTCCCCCACAAGGTCACAGGTCCTGCCAGAAAACCTGCTTCTGCGTGAGCTCCTCTCCATGGCCTACAGTTTCTGCCAGGAACCTGCTCCAGTGTGTGTTCTCCATGGGGTCACAGCTTCCTTCAGGGCACATCCACCTGCTGCAGCATGGGGTTTTCCACAGGCTGCAGGGTAGATACCTGCTCCACTGGGGATCTTCATGGGCTGCAGACAGACAGCCTGCATCACCATGGTCTTCATCACAGGCTACAGGGGAATCTCTGCTCTCGTGCCTGAAGGACCTCCTCCCCCTCCTTCTTCACTGAGTTTGGTGTCTGCAGAGTTGTTTTTCTCACGTATTCTCACTCCTCTCTCCCAACTGCTGCTACACAGCATTTTTTACCCTTTCTTAAACATTATCACAGACCTGTCTGTCTTGGAGCTGGCTGGAACTGGCTCTGTCTGACATGGGGGCAGCTTCTGGTGTCTTTTCACAGCCCTCCCCACTACCAAAACCTTGCCACATAAACCCAATACAGCACTAGATTTGTCAAGCCAAGCAGCACATCAGTCACATCCAGACCACAGTCATCTCTGATGGCTTTCAGTTAACATCCATACTGTGGTGAGTGTGGATATACTGTAGTGAGTATGGTGAAAAGGATTAGCTTAAAGCCCATCATCCTCTGCTATGTACTCATTTCCTCACTGAGAAAAACCATAGTAGAATCTGCCCATCCACAAGTAGATGGGATGTTCCAGTAATCAATTAACTTAAACTCAGGAATTGGCAAAAACTCCAACATAGAACCACAGACTCACAGTAATAATTAAGTTCATAAGCTTAAGTTCTGGTGCCCATTTTGAGAAGAATATTAACCTCACACTGCTCTCAATGGAATTAAGTATTTAACCACATTTCCTAACAACATCAGGATACAATCATCTTTCCTATCTTCTGCCTCAACAGGGATACTGGTAAATATTTCTACAGAGACATTAGACTATGAACTTGACCTACGGAGAACAGTAAGAAACAAACCATTTTGGAAAAGCAATTCTTTGGTGAATTTCTCTGAAGAAAGAATTTTTATTAAAATAGTTTTACCTGGCTTATAATCATCTAAATATTTTTTAAAATTTTATCAGTAATACAAGTAGCTAAATAAAGACAGAACTTATGATGGTGATCAATTTTTCAGATGGGGAAGAGAAAGAAATAGAAGAATATGAAAGGGAAACAGGGAAATACAGTGATGAAAGATTCAGGGGAAAACAGGAAAATGAGGATGAAATGTATACTCCAGCTGCTCAGTGGAAACACACATTTAAACCAGTTTAACTAGCCACTAGGGTCTAGCTGGTTTTAGCTCTCATAGAAAAGAAAAAGCATATTGGAAGTCTGATTAAAATTTGTTAAAAGTCTTCTGTTACCATGGGTTAATTCCAGTTATTACACAAAACAAAGCATTCTAACAATGTACACACATTCAAAGCCTCTGTAAGTTTTAAGAAGTTTCCTAGACAAAAATACATAGTATTAGATATTTTATATATCAACAAAGTAAAATAAAATAATTAAAGCTGGTTGATGTTTTCATCACAAATAACATCATAATATAAACTTGAGCAGATTCAAAGTACAGAAACCACAAATAGAAAGCCTGTATTCTGCTCTCCACACCTGACGAGCTTTAAATATACTGATTCCTTCAATGAAACTAAAATCATTAATAGTTTCATTAGTGTCTTGAAACACTAAAAGAGAAAAATTTGCATGATGATTCTTCGGGGTTTTATTTTTATTCCTCTTCCACTCCACATTTCACCATGTTTTGGACTTCTTTCATATTTAACCTTATTTTGAATGCCTTACCCTTAGAAATACTTGATGCTGAGCTAATTAAAACCTGTGTATTTTAACCAAAATTATTGATACATGTTCTGAAATCTTAATTCCACTTTCATTAATTTTTTTGTTTGGACATTTGTTATAGCTCTATCGCCTTGAAATTAGTGGCAAATCTGACAGTTATAAGTATCTACATCTATAACAACTGCACAAACAAATTAAGTTTTGAAGAGTATTTTATTTAGAATTTTGAGGTAAGACATTTAGTTTAAGTAAATCAGCTTTTTGAAATCCACACTGCAATCCTCAAGTATAAGTCTTTCAACAAGTTTAAACCACAGTGTAGAGGAAATGACAGTGTTCTGTACTGTTAGGAAAATATAATAGTCTATATAAAGTCCTTTAAAAAATAAAAAAGAAACAAAACAGGCAAAAGACATTTGCTTTCTTGTAAAGCTAAGCAGTAAAAAGAACAAAAGAAATCCCATTACCCGTGCTGGACTGACTCCAGTAGTACTGGCAGTCAAGACTTCATGTTGTGAATCGATAATATTTTTAATCTTCAAATCCAAATCTTGTACAACTTCCTCTACTGCCTGACAGAAAGGATCCCCATTGCTTCGGCCTTTTATCAAATGCATCTTCACTGTTGACAGAATTCGCCCCCCTGCGATTCTGAAAATAGGCACAGGGTCATCTCCACATTAATCTTGGCAGCACTTTAGTATACCTATTAGTGTTGAACATAGCCAGTATTCACAGTTAATCAAAACTCTTCAGAGAACAGCTTTGATCTTTTAAATCAAACAGCAGTGTAGAAGTATTGTCCAACATAATAGTTTGCTAAAAAAAAGATTATAAGGAAAGGTAATGAATTCAGCATTTATAATACTCTGAGCTGCAACACAAAACTAACTTCTCCATAAAAGTTCAAAGAAAAGTACTTTCTTTAAACTTACAGTTACTGTTTTGCTCAAACTCTTAAGTGTAAACAAAATGTTTCACTGGAACATGCATTCCAATTTAACAGCCTATTAGATTGAATCTTTTGTGTATCATGAAAGTGCTTCAAAATATTAAATCTGCTGTCAATTTTATTTAAATTGGTAGTAATTAGACTAGATGATCATCACTGTTTGCCATAAAGGCACACACTATTAATCTCTTTTCATCACCTAGAAAAAATGCCTACAGAAGACAACTTAGTAGTTTAATTATGAAACATCAATGCAGCTTGACATAAAAAATACAAATAATTAAATCTAATTGATACAGGGGTTTTATTTCAACACTTCTTATAGAAGGATAAGAAGGCATTTGTGAGTGCACCTAAACAATGGTTAGACTGTTAATTTCATTTTGTGGTCCTGTACCTTGAACCATTCACATTGCATGTATGATAGACTACTTCTGGAATCACTTTTGGGTTAGAACTACCAGGTCTCTCCCCAGTGAAAATCTTGAGTGATTAGCAGTTACACATGTACAGATGATGCTCCAAAAGGCATTACTGAGAGCACTACACCATGTCTTGCTCGCTCAGACTTGCAAGATCCACATATTCTATAAAAATGGAAATGTAACAGGCTGCCAGGTAGACTGCATTATCTTGAGTATGTAAATAAAAGAAAAAAATAAATCAATTTTTAAAGAATCACAAGAAAACCCAAAGATCTTACATCCAAAAAGAAATGGCTACAGGGACTGAGACTCTTGTGACAGTGCACCTTGATTAACCCAGACCTTGTTAATGAGAAGCAGCAGCTACCATTCCAAGAATCCCACTGGCCATTTATAAGTGCATCTTTCCACGCAGGGGTTGAAAGTGCTTCCCTGAACAATGCTGCTCAAAATTAATAAAATAACTTAAAGCTTATAACGAGAGTGAGCATAGTCCCATCACAAGAATGGAAAATCCAAGTGTTAGGAGTGAATTGCTCATTTTGCAAGTGTAACATAGGGTGAGTAGGTGCAAAAGCCATACAGAGGTATGAAGGTAGGAGTCACTAGTCATAAGGCACTACTATGAACTATGACTATGAACCAGGTTAAGTAACACAGCTAGGGGATCACAGACCTTATCTCAGAGATGATAAAACTATATTGAGACAGCAAATGCATCTTGACTACTTTAATAGATTTAGTGAAAGACAGAATAAACCCCTTGAGTTAAAAGCTTAATAATTTTGTCTAGTACCCTCACAAAACATTAAAAGAGAAAGACTGTATGTTTAACCATTGCTCGCGTTTGAGCAAATAAAAAAAAAAGTATTACAAGAATGACTCAGTTCTCCTACATCATAAGGCATCTCTTCCCAAAAGCTTTTTGAAGTTGCATACTGTTTGGAAACTTTATTATCAATTCTCCAGTCTTCTCAGAACATGAACCCATCACCCAGACCAAAATTGATTATAATCAAGATTCCCCTCACCCTACCTAGCAATCATTTATCTTCTGTTTAACATCACATGTGTATAAGGTCTTCATTATTTCCCCATGACATTTTGTTTTCAATTTCATTCTCTCTCTGCTTATTTTCCTCAACCTTTTCAGGGTGTGGTAGTCTATATCTTACTTTTAGTAAATAGTATAGTTTTTTCAATTGATTCCCTCCCCCCTTTTACTTTTTCACATACAGAGATATTTTCACCTTTGAATACCAGCATATAACACAAGTAAGAATAAAGGAAGAAATAAAACTATAACAAGAGGCACAAAGGTCCCATTCTTTAAAAAAGAAAATGATTCCCAGGAAAAATAGGTTGACCTCTGTGTTCAGAAAATACCCTGAACTGAAATTAGAGATTGAGACAGCACTCAGGAGAAGTATCATAAACACTTCCTCTCTTCTTACAAGGCATGTATTTACTGGCAATATTGGAGACAGGATCCTGTGCTTGTGGACCCTTCTTTTAAAATTGTACCATCAAATTTTCATATTCTTAAAGTAACATAGATTCTTTGTGGTGACAGAAGTGACTCAAAAAGTTAAATGAAAACAAGCAAAACCCCAGCCTTCCAGTTACCATGTTTTTGACAAAAAACTGCCAGTGAAGCTAGGTATGCTTGTCATGCTAAGTTCAGTTATGAGACTAATTTCCTGTCAGGTTTTTTTTTTTTAAAGTTTTAGAAAGCCTAAGTATAATGTCAGGCAAAAGCAACAAAAGCAATTCTGTTCATTCTGAACTCCTGCTCTAAGAATTTTTCCTTTACAGTCAATCTGCTTCATGATTTATTGCAATAATCCATCTCCCTTTTCCAATTAACCTACAGTTTCTTTTTCCAGACTTTAAGAAACACTAGCCACTTTCCTACAACATCTAATAAATGGATAGAATGGCCAACCCTAAAAAAGGATAGCCTGTTAAATGTTGCCTTTAACAGCAGAATTACTGAAGTTTTACTTTTTTTTCTAAAAATTAGGTTTATAGTCCAAATCAAAGCAGAAATGCAGCATGTTGAGTGTAACCTAACATCAGTCTATCTAGTTCAGGCACCAATATTTTTAACAATACCATGGACTGTACAAAATAACTCCATATTTATTCATACACCCTAAAGTCTTGAGCTGCTATTGGCACCTATGATAGAATTTTCAGATACATCTGTGATGCTGTAAATCACAGCTCTGCCAAAAAAACCCCAAAGCAATGGCAATGGCTGTATTACTGCAGGTGACATAGCCAAGAGTGAGATGATTAATTTTTCAACTTCCCCCATGCTCCTGCCTACTTACCCTAAAAAGATACCTTGCAAATTGAAAGAAAGCTACATTTTGTACACATTGAATTCTGAAGATGAATTTTAGAATTCTAGTTGGGAGAACCTCCATCAAATGAAACTCCACATATCTACATTCATATAAATATAAAATAGGTAAGAGCTAGGTAAGAATAGGAATTGAGTGATAGAAAACTAGTTTGTTTGTATTGTTTCCTGTTAAAATAAACAGCAGGAACTGGGCCAGAGACCTTGGTGTTTTGGCTTATTCTGGCTGAACAAGACTGCCATAAATAACTTAGAAAACCTGAAGTTAACTTAAAATTTCTTTTTGGCTTTTTTCCAGGTCAAAACCAAATATTTCCACACAATTCTCAGCTTTAACTTTTACAGATCAAGATTATTCAATTCACATTAGATTTGCAGGCTTGGTTAAACAGAAAAACTTTTGCTTTGCAGAAATTTAAGCACAAAGTATGCACTTAGCCAAAAGAAAAGTCACCATGTGAAGTCTCTCTGCACACAGGTCAAGAACCATCTAGATCTTAGAAAAGATAGGTTTGGTTTTTGGGTTTGTGTTTTTTTTTTTTTTTTTTTTTTTTTTTTTTTTAAAAGGAAAAAAAATAGATGCTGGTGTACCTCTGTTCCAAAACCCACAATTCAGTCTAACCACAAGAGAATGAAAAATTCAAGGAAAAAAAAAAAGTCATCCAGTACAAGTTGTCAAGATGTGAGAAGAGATCACTGCTGAAGAAAAGTTCTGTCTCATAGATGCACATAGGAACTATAGCCAAGTCCCCTGATGCTTGTTACCAAACTGCTTTATTTCCCTCAGCCCTAAACTGACACTTTCCAGAATAATACCCTCAAATGAGAGAAGCATTGTATTAAATGAGTAGTATCTGTTCCATAAATACTATGCTGAACCTAGAACTTCAAGACAAACAAGCACGTGAAGGGATTGACTGAAGTTGTCTTTGAAAGACAGGTTCAGTCCTTTCTGTCTACAGATATCTTGAGCTTATCTACATCATTATGATTTCCACACATTTTACATACACATACTTGCATGTATGCTGGAAGAAGAAGTATTATTATATGTACAGCACCCAGCATCAGTTAATTAAGCTAATCATGCCCTTAATTTAAATGCTGTGCTCTGTATGTGACTATTACCTTGTAGCTTTTCACTGAGGAAAAAAAAACACCAAACAAACCTGTGATAAAAACATTTTCTATGTTTGTTTTTTTGCCTCTACTACCCAATGCCAACTAAGGATATTTGTTATTAGAATTAAAGTTCATTTAATCTCTTTCTCCCCATATTCCTTCTTCTTTTCCAGGAAAGAGTTCCAGTCCCCCATCAGATATACACAGTACTAACTGGAGCAAAGAAGAGGAAAAGTTTATTCATACTTCAACTAGAATTTATATAAACAGGCCAAGACATAAAATGCTGATCTAATGTGTGCGGATTAGTACTGAAACATTGTGCCATAGCTTATGCTAATTTACACCAGGATATGATATAACAAAATAAGTTATGCTGTGAGGTTTGTTTTATTAGTCTTGAATATACTTATAAAATGTTGAATCCATCTCATTTGTGCTATTTCACAGATCTTTCAAAGCTTTCTACAGAAAGTGCTAACTAACCATGTCTAGCAGTTTCAAAAAGTATGGTCAAACCAGTCTCAGTAGGAAAGGAATTCTTTTAATCTCTTTATATACGCCATCTAGATCACAAGTGGAGATGGCTAGGGCTCTACCCATGTTTATAGAGTCCTTTCCGTGGTAAAGAGAATATCATCCTTTTCCCAGAAAAGACAATTCACTGGATCAAAAAAACACCTTAACAAATAACCACCTTGAAGATGAAACTATAAATTAATTCAACAATAAATAGAATAGTTCTATTTAAACCAATCAAATAAGTTACATGAGCAACTTCAGA